ATATTTTGAAGTTGCTGGAAGCAACGGTTATTTAAGTAAAGCTTGCTAAGTAGAGCGTGTCGAGCGTATGGAACAAATTGATATATAATTTGTGGGAAATCATGAAATTTTGAAATGAATCAACTCAAAACTTTCCTCGAGTCGTTACTTTCAATGTAATAATTTGTATCATCGATTAACGGGCTTTGTGCACGCTTGCAGCTAATTTTTTTTCCCCTTTGATGAATTTTTTCAATTTCTCCAACTGAAAGGGGATAATTTATTCACCAAAACTTTGCAGTAAAAGATAAATGTAACCGTGCTCGTTCTGGTTCATTGATTGAAAAACAATACCGTGTTCACGGAATGCGGGCGCACTTGTTTGCCTGATTACGTGATTATTGTGCGTAGTACAGGATGCACAGAGCAATACTGAGGAATCACCTTAATGAATTTAATCAATCCTTGCATTTCTGCTATTAGTAGTTCTCAGCAGAGGTCTTAAAATTCTTACCTCACATAACTACCTTATGCTTAAAAAAATACCCTCGGCTCGTTAACTGCCCGAAATACTACTTGATCTTAAACAGGTACATTTCTCGTATCCTCAGGTGCTAACTGTAGTATTGTTCCTACTTGTAACGATGTATCAAACTGTGCTGGCAATGGAATCTGTGTGGATTTCAATGTATGCAAATGTAAAATGGGGTGGACTGGAAGCAATTGTGCTCAATACTCTTGCGAACAATTGGATTATTGCTCTGGTGAGTTGACATCTTGAGAAATCATATCATAGTCTACGAAGTGATGTTATTTCCGTCTTTCCTTCCCTCCCTCATTGCTTCATTCTGCTAGTCCTTCATAACGTTCTCCTGGTCGGATGCTAGTATTAACGCTTTTCTGTCCATTTTTTCTACTCCTTGCTGTTGATAAGTACATGGTAGCTGCGTGGCCTTTGACAGATGTGCCTGTGATTATGGCTGGACCGGAGTAAGCTGCGCCCTTCCTGACTGTGAGGCTGTCAATCACTGTTCCAAAAAAGGAGAGTGCATCTCCAGTGACAAGTGTCGCTGTTTTCCGGGATTTGTCGGAGCGGATTGTAGTCAGGTGGGGGACTGCAGTCATCTTGCAAACTGCAGCGGCCACGGTGTTTGCATTTCGACAGAGTTGCTAAATGTGTCATGCAGTTGCTACCTTGGTTTCACGGGAGATAACTGCAGTCAGCCTACTTGCACAACCGTGAACAACTGTTCTGCCCATGGCGTATGCGTGGAAGCCGAGTTCTGCAAATGTGACTTTGGATACACTGGAGCTGACTGTAGTAACTTTTCTTGTGAGGCTGTCAACTACTGCTCCGGTGAGTACATCGTTTTAAAATTTAAAATTTTTTGGTCGCTAATCTTTTCCCATGTCACCACTACTATGCACACTTCATACTAGCAAGAAGAACATCTTTATTGTTGGCAACAAATGACATATTAGTTGCTCCCATAGGCCCAAAAAAAATGGTTACAAAGAGTGTCAATGCCTTTGAGTGATCGAAATTGTTGGGCACTTTCATCTCGGGGTGCTTTCCTGGAAAAGAACTGAGCTCACAATCCTTTCTCTATGATAATGATCTTGGCACTTTCCCCAGCGAATTTTATTCCCGAGTTATTTGCAACTTTTAAATTAATCAATACGTTAGGACAATTCTTTATTATTATTACTATCATTATTATCAACTACGAACAACAGTACATTAATAATACTACGTAAATCACCTAGAGTAATTACAATACTAACAATGCTTACATTACTCACAATGCTACCCCTTTTACAATTAATACTTACCATATTATATATATTCTAGAGAGGTGGACAGCAGAACACATCACAGACACAGTGCAAATACTTCGATTAGATTTTGAAGCACGAGTTAGTTGATGATAAAAATAGACAATGTAGATTTTCAATGAGCCATCCACATATTTCCTCCGTGCAGTATCACTAAAAAATTCTTATAATAATGGTTTCCATCTTTTCCTAAAATCTTGAAGCTTCTTATTACTTAAGGCAATATGTCTTTCACTCTCCTTCTTGGCTTCTACTTTGTGTAGAAAAATATTAAACTTTATGGTAAGACAATGCTGACAAACGGTGTGCTCATTTTGTGCCGCAGGAAATGGAAAATGTGTTGGTTACGACCTCTGCCTCTGCAATTCCTCCTGGTCAGGTCGAGCATGCAGCGTTCCTGATTGTAGTGCTGTAAAAAACTGTTCTGACCAAGGAAATTGCATCCTACCCAATGTTTGCTCTTGTTATCCAGCGTTTGACGGTGCATATTGCGATCAGGAGGCAAAATCAAACATCAACGCGCCAAAATTTAACCAAACATTTTATAGTGCTACCATTGTAGAAAATTCTCCAGTCGGAACAGTGATTCTACAAGTAAAAGCCACTGATAGAGATTTAGGAAAAAACGGTCAAATATTTTATCCCATACTTGGTGATGATAACATTGAAAGTATCCTCACTGTTGGTGGACAGTCTGGAAAGGTTTACAGTGCACAGACGCTGGATTTTGAGACAAATGAAGTGAAATCTTTCAACGTGACTATGGTTGCAGCAGATGACGGATATCCACAGAAATCAGGAATCACCACTGTACAGATAACATTACTGGATGAAAATGACAATTGCCCAACCTACATCGAGCCACCAGGAGATCTAAAACTAGAACTCCCTGCATTAATTTCTGGAGAAACCGTGACCAAAGTTTTTGCAGTTGACCTGGACAGTGGAGTCAACAGCGACATAACTTACAGCCTATCCAAAAATGAAGCATTCTCTATTCATCCTAAAACTGGTGTGGTCACGGCAGTGTCCGACTTGAAGAACAAAGTTTATCATCTCACAGTTAGTGCCAGTGACAATGGGGACATTTCCTGCGTAACAGACATCAATTTAACAGTTAAAGTCGGCTTCTCCCCAACAACTAATCCCTTAACCAGATCTACCAATTCCTTCACAAACAAGAAATCTGAAGCCCCATCAACCCACAAAGTCGGCTTCTCTCCAACAACAAATCCCTTAACCAGATCCACCAATTCCTTCACAAACAAGAAATCTGAAGCCTCATCAACCCATAGCCCGCCTAGGTTGCCTGAGACTACGTCGTTTACTAGTGAGTTTGTTTCCATTTGTGTATGTAGTCGATTCTGTTGTTGAATCAGTATTGTAGAAATCCCCAACTGAGCAATGTCGTAGAGAGTTTGAAAATAATTCATGTTAACCCTGAAAGAGTTAAACGATTTTAACATGTGTTTTATGAGAACTTACTGATAAACTTTGATATGGGAACCTGCAGGTCGCGTGTTTAATGTAACTGATCCGGATTCTTCTTCAAGCGAATGAATAAATGGATAAATTAGCCGGGCGTATGCCTACAAAATATTCCTTTAAAATGGGACTCATTAATTTCTTATTCAGTTGAGTTCAAGTTTGAAACATTTATTTTACTCTCTCTTTTTGAACAAAGGGGCCACTACCTCGAATGTACCAACGAGGGCAGATGCGGTTCCTCAGGGAGGTTCAATTTATGTAGTCATTGGTGGGTCTGCTGCTGGAGGAGTAGTGCTGCTATTGATCGTAGTACTGGTGATCAGAAAATGTCTCGGCAAATCCAGGATATCGCCAGCAAAACACATGACGGGGAGATTGAATGCTGGTATGGATTTCGAGCTGTCCAGGAGGATGTGAGAACATGTCATATCTGAGAATAGGTTTAAAAAGGAAAGTTTGCCAAGCGAGAGAGTAAGATCCTAAAATTATTTGTTGGTTAATGCGTGATAGCATACTTTTGACCATATACTCAGTGGTCAGAAGAGAAGCTTTTTTTACAAGTTCAGTAACGGAGTTCATAGTGTGAATAACCATATCAGTCGGTAACAAGCGAACAAAAGCATTGCACCACCATTGTCATTGTGACATTACACCTCTTACTTAAACCAGTATATCGCGAAATATCATACAAAATTATGAGCAGCGTTGGATGCAGCAATGGCAGTAGCAGTAGCAGCTCTAGTGGCAATTGAAAAAGCAGTATGTTGTAGCTATGCCAGTAGAAATAGCACTAGCAGGAGGCCATTAACTAACTATCAACTAACTTAACTATGCGTCATGATATCTCAGTAACAGATGATAACTGATTACATATCTTTAGTTCCCCGTATATATACGTAAAAAAAAGGTGGATAAAAAAGGAATTTGAGTGATTAAAAAATAATATTTCTACAAACAAAGAATAGACATAGCTGTAATCTTCTAGCTGATTTTGACTGTGACATAAGTTTGAATAAAAGCATAGATGGTTGTTCATTTCGTAATTTAGTCTTTTCCCAAGACAGCACTAACCCCTCATCACTAATGTGACTGTTTTTTCTTCTTCTTCTTCTTCTTCTTCTTCTTCTTCTTCTTCTTCTTCTTCTTCTTCTTTTTCTTCTTCTTCTTCTTCTTCTTCTTCTTCTTCTTCTTCTTCTTCTTCTTCTCTTTTTTTTTCGTAAGAAAAGGAAAAGAATTGCGCCACATGCTTAACTGGAAAGAAAAAACACTCGAACCTGACCTGATGCGACTGCCACTCTCACTTTACTGTTCTGCCACAGCTCCACCAAACCCTGGACACAATTACCCATGGTCTTTGAACACAACACCGACTTTTTTTGTGGGGTGGCGGGGGGGGGTATTTTTCTGTTTTTAGATATATTAAATAGTTTTTAAGTATGTGTTTTGCATTTGCTTCGCTAAACTTTTAAGGCTATGAGAAAATTCGATTGCTGCATTTGCTTTTTCGCAAACAGGCGCAGAAGTGCCATGCGCGGGAAATAAAGTAATGAAGAGCAGTTTGTTGGCATAGCGGCTCAGCTGGGACCCATTTTGCGAAAGTCCCGGGAAACTTAACGAGCCTGAAGCTCTACTTTTTTTAATCAAGTAGAGTAGAGAAGTAGGTTCTGGCACCTTAAGCAGTCCATTTTGTTTCTATAGCTGATAGTTTTGAGGTAAAAATTTTAAAACTTTTGTAACCCTCATCATGAAAGCGGAGGATCAGATTTCCGACCTCTTCCAGTTGTATTTCAAATATTTCGCGGCCCCGTTTATTCAAAGCCCTTCCCTGGATCTATTCTCACTCAATTATCTGAGGATTACTCAGATCTAGATTAATGGTTCAAGTCACGCAACAACATTGGAGGCGCTTCGCTAGGTTTCCTCAATCGAGCTCGAGGACAGTAATAGTAGTTAACAAAGAAAACGCCTTCACAGGCTCCTAATGGGTTATTTTTGACAAATTTTCCGTGAGCGTGCAAGCTTTGTTGTTTGTTTTGTCTTTCAGTTTGACAGTGTAGTCACTACTATCTTTTGAAGGTCTTTGTTTGTTATACAATTCGGGACGAATGCGGCTAACAGCCATACTTACTTCAGCGCGTTTCAAAACAAACCTGAACAAGTCGGCCTTATTTTGTCCATGAGTTTCACAGTGTAGTCACGACTGTCTTGTGAAAGTGTTTGTTTGTAATTTCACTAAACACAATTCGGGACGAGTGCGGCTGACCGCCTCATTTAATTTAGCACGTGTCAAAACTGACCAAAACGTACGCCGTTTTTTTGTAAGCTTTCAACTAATCGGCCTCATAGAAGCAGGTTCTACTTCTCATCTATATACGTCTATATTTATTGCTATTTGAATTGAATCTAATTTGTCATTTTGCTCATTTATCCTTTTTTAAGTTTGAAGTTGTCGTTGTATGGAATAGTGGTGATCCAGCCACGATTACATACTTATATCGTCTTCTACACTCACCCAGACGATCAGACTATACCTTCGTCTCCTAATGTTGTAAAGACCTTGGTTAGATCCGAAGATTCTAGTTCTTTAGCTTGCTGGCTTGTGTGTATGTTTTTCGCTTTTGACCCTTTTTTTTCAACGCTTTTTGTGCTCCTGTGATGAATTTTTTCGGGCTTGTATTGTAAATTGCTGTTATAGCGAGGGTGTTGTTGACTTGTGTCTTAACCATTCAACTCCGAAGATGTGATTGTCGATTCTCCCCTCTGGCTACTAAACACTTCCTTGTAAATTAGTAATAAGAATTTGGTGTTAGATCAGGATAACAACATCTACTTGAGAAGTGCGGGTTGAGTATTCTCATTACCTGTTTGCTGGATCATGTATGGATACTATAGGGAGAAGTTACATGTTAATCACTTCTGAAGTGATTAACATGTTAATCACTTCCTGTTCGTCCTCAGTTTCGGCGTGGAATTCGTCGTCCATCTCCTCCTCATCTGCTAGTTCTGCTGTTTCTTCCGAGTAGATTGCTTCATCTTATATGCCCTCTAGAGTTTTAGAGATTCTGCAGGTTTTGAACGAGTGTCTACATCTTGCGAAAGTATTTTAAAAACTTTGAAGCTGACCAATCAGAATTGCCCATTTCCACGATTGGTAAACAAATTCGTCCCATGTTACGGTGTTGAAATTTGCCATCACGTTAAAAGAAAACTCACCTTGGCTTCTCTGCTCTGTAAACCAGCCAAGTAATCTCTCATCCAGCCGCGGATATTTCGGAGTGTAACGGCCCATCGTTGTGCGTTTCGCTGACATCTCGAGTTCTCCATTAAATAGATACTCTTGATCTTTCCCCTAGTGACTCACTGATGACGTACTCTAATAATAATAGTACTTTATTATTTATATTGCGCATGAATCTATATGCATATAATCTAATGCGCGTTGCAAATATCTTTAAAAAATACTAAATAAATATATATATAATGTGCATGTAAGATTATAATAAGTATTAATCATATGAAGAAAATTAAATATAACCCTACATAAAACTATTTTCAAATAAGTATATTAAATAAAATCTAATAAAAAGCTAATCTAAAAAAGTAAGTCTTTAAGGAGCTTTTGAATTTTGACAGGTTTCTCTCGTTACGAAGCTCCAGAGGGAGACTGTTCCAGAGTCTTGGTGCTGCAGCAGAAAATGCGCGATCACCTAATGTTTTCAAAGTTTTACGGTTGTAACAACAGAAGTCCCTTCTTTGATCTAAGGTTACAACCACTATTCTCTTTAATAGTAATTAAATCTCTGAAATATCTAGGGGAAAGTCCATGGCGTGCGTTAAAAGTCGTTAGAACTATTTTAAATTCGATTCTGAATTTTACTGGAAGCCAGCGTAGAGATCTTAGAACTGGTGTCACATGGTCAAATCTAGGTATATTGAAAATCAATCTTGCTGCTGAATTCTGAAGGCGCTGTAACTTGTTAACATACTTTAGGGGCAGTCCACATAGAATGCTGTTACAGTAATCAATACGCCCAATTATTAGCGCGTAAACTAATGATTGTGTTGCCTCATTGCTTAAGTATTTCCTAATACGCCTTACATTAATTAGATGATTTTCTACAGCCTTACATATGTGATTTATATGAGCCTGCATGCTCATGTTGTCATCAAGCCAAGGTCCTAAATCTTTTACTAGTAAACTGAAAATACACAGGCATCACCTATCTTAGTAGAGCTAATATGGACCTTTGACAACTGCTTCCGTGTCCCTATATCCATAAATTCTGACCTCCCATCATTGATCTTAAGCTTGTCCCTTAACATCCACGCTCGAATGTCACGTATGCAATGGTCCACGGCAGCAACAGCATCTTGAGCGCTTGCCGCAGATTCTGGTTTAAATGCCAAATATAATTGCGTATCATCAGCATACGTATGGACACTAGGAAGGTGCCTACCAACCACTTCAAATAGTTTGCTCGCATAAAGCGTGAATAATAGCGGTCCTAAGCATGACCCTTGGGGAACGTGTTCTTGAAGATCGAAAGCATCTGAGCAGTAACCATCGAGTGAAATCCACTGAATGCGCCCAGAGAGGTACGAAGAAAACCACCTCAATGCAGTCCCTCTTAATCCGAAGCTAGATTTGAGGCGGGACAATAGCACAGATCTAGAGTGGTCCAACGGTGTCAAATGCTGCGCTAAGATCGAGTAACACTAATAATACAACATGTTGGCAATTCATAGACATCAGAATGTTATTTCGTATCTTTAGAAGCGCTGCCTCTGTGCTATGGCCCTTTCTGTAAGCAGACTACAATACAGGGTAGAGATCGTGATGGGACAAATGAGCATGCACCTGATAAAACAGTGCACGTTCTGCAAGTTTTAGACGTACTGAAGATTGCCAACTGGTCGAAGATTGTTGAAGTCATTCACCCCCGCTTTCTTACATTTTGGATCAACAAGTGCCTCCTTCTACACATCCGGAAAATGACCTGCTAGTAGGATGAATTTATCATTGAGGTCATCAATGGTAGAAAATTCTCAAGGGATTCGAGAACCAATTTTGTCGGCAATGGGTCAAGACCACAGTGTTTCTTTGATGATCGTTTTATGAGATCTAGCACGTCATATCCAGAAAGAGGCATGAACGATGAGAGCACACGCGCGTCATCCACAACGGGATCCTCTGGGATTACCTCTCTGATTATCTTGGAATTGTTTTCGACGGCAATACTGCACTGAGACTCTTTTCTGTTCGAATCTTCTGCGTTCATCACAGTTTGTTAGAGAATTCTTTGAAAATGGTCTCGGCTTATAGCTGAGTGTTTTCAATTTACATGTTTTAAGAACCTTCCCGACTAAAACAGACCGAAGCTAAGGGTCTCGGTTTATAGACGAATAACTTGACGGTAACTTGACAAAATCATAGCAATGCTCCTCCATCGCAATATCTCTATACCTCCAAATATGAATGAAAGTAGCTGATTTGAAGGATCTCCTGCTACAGCACTGTAACAAAACTGTGATATTGCCTACAGCTATTGTGTCTGATTGTGACAATGACAACTGAATTACACTGTGGCTCCTGAGAGGGAAAAATCTAGCAATTATGATGAAAACAAATTTGCGCGTGTAAGTTTATTAATGATTCAATGATCAATTCAGTGAAAACAGAGGAACAAAAGGATGTCAAATATCCTGAGACAAAAGAAGCAAAGTGGGCTGATTTGACTTCTATTTAAGCAGGGATGTACATCAGGAAGGCATCCAATAAAGCAACACAGAGCTGTGACCCCTCAAAGTGCAATTAACTGAAGCGGGGGAGACAGAGATTACCATGAATGAGCATTTCAACCATTTAACTGTTTTGCTGAACAACTAATAAGTAAATTCTCTAAAGAAATGTTTAATGCTATTCATAATTTAAGCACAATCAATTCAAATAACAAAGATGATGATTTCGCTCTGAAGTGTCAGCCATTGCACAACCCTGACTTTAAGTTTGATACACTTACTGGTAAAGATCCCAC